CATCGATATTTTCGATGCATCGATGTTTTTCCAACATCCCTACTTCAAAAGCGAAGTAGAGCAAAAAACGGAAATGTCATTTTGTGAAAATTCAATAAGCTTTATAAAAACGGAGAAGGACTCTTCATAATCGAAGGAACTATAGGCGTCTTTAATATAGACTGTGAGCGGTAAGCATTTATGTGTCTATAATTAGCAATGTCGAAGGAAAAAGAAGAAAATCAAGAAAACAAGCATGTCGAAAAAAGCGCAGGTAGCAGCAGTAGTGAAAAAAATGGATTGAGTCCCAACAACGATGGTAAGACAAATATGGCCAATAACTGTGTTGATCGAGGAGGGGGATCAAATAAATTCCAAAACTGCGCAGTTAATGAATCTCCCCCCTTATCTTCACCCGCGCTTTCGCTCACACCGACGNAGGAGGGGGATCAAATAAATTCCAAAACTGCGCAGTTAATGAATCTCCCCCCTTATCTTCACCCGCGCTTTCGCTCACACCGACGCCCACATCGTCCCCCATTGCTGACAATTGGCGTGAGAACGAAAAGTATCCGCTACATAAAACTGTTTTTCAAGGTGATTTCAAAAGATTGGCACGACTTCTTCAACGACCTCCAGCCGGTTGGCAGCCTCAAGAGGAAATCAGCTGCAAGGATAAACACGGTAACACACCCTTGCATCTGGCTGTAATGCTCGGAAGAAAGGAGTGCATTCATTTACTGCTGGCTCACGGCGCGCCTGTTAAAGTAAAAAACAATGATGGTTGGTCTCCATTAGCAGAAGCGATCAGCTATGGCGACCGGCAGACCATTTCGGCGGTTTTGCGCAAGCTTAAGCAGCAATCTCGTCAGCATATGGAGGCTCGGCGCGCTAAACTAGTTCGTGCTCTTCAGCAAATGAAAGATTTTTACATGGAATTGAAATGGGATTTTGCTTCGTGGGTGCCACTAGTATCCCGAATGTTGCCGTCCGATATCTGCCGTATTCACAAATCGGGGGCGTTATTACGCCTTGATACTACATTAGTGGACTTCAATGATATGCGCTGGGAAAGGGGCGATATTTCTTTCATATTTCGAGGCGACCGCGCACCGCATGAATCATTAACGGTATTAGACAATGAATATGAATGTTATCAGCACGTTCGATATGAAGATGCAGATATTGAAGACGAGGTAGACGTACTAATGTCTACAGATATTTTAGCAGCCCAAATGTCCACAAAAAGTATACAATTTGCTCGCGCCCAAAGTGGTTGGATTTTCCGCGAAGACCGAAAAGAATTGGTTAGTGGGCAATATCAATGTGATCTATATTCAATACAAGGTCTTGTCCTCAAGCAACGAAAGAGGCGTGAGCATCTTTCACACGAGGACCTTCAAAAGAATAGAGCCATTGTAGAATCTATAACGCGTGGTGGTCGTCGAGCTAGCGTAACCAGCGCAAATGGGGGAGGTTCCAGTGGCGATTCAGCGAATGGATCCGCCACAGAAATGCCACGTAGAAGCTCTTTGCAACCACCGCCACCACCCACAGCGTCATGGGAGGAGTATATTAATGCACCAGCCGGTAAATGCCCACAGTTAGGACGTCTGCCAGTACACAAACAATCAAACAAGACCATCCGTGCCACGGTAGCTATGAGTACAGATTTCCCGCTGAGCGTCGAAATGCTGCTAAACGTGTTGGAAGTAATAGCACCCTTCAAGCACATCAATAAATTGCGTGAGTTTGTTACATTAAAACTCCCCAGTGGGTTTCCCGTTAAAGTAGAAATACCGGTACTGCATACAGTGACGGCAAAAATAACTTTTCAAAAGTTTGAATTTCGTGACAACATACCCGAAACCCTTTTCGTTGTACCATCCCATTACGTTGAAGACGCACGTCGATTTCCAGACTTATGACCTGCTCCGCCCCAACAACAACATCCTACAGACAACGTCGATATGAACCGCAATGCTACTAGCGATAGCTCAACGGCTGCTCCCACGAGCACCAAGCCGAAGTTGCATACCAGTTTCGACGATATAGACTAGTGTATGCATGCGACCAATGTTTGTCACAATGGACGTGTTTTTGTTTATTATCACAAATGTACGTATGTGTTTTGATGTAATTTGCTGATGCTTTCCTATTTATGAAGCAACTGTAACGTAATCCCAAAAATAATGATCTGTGTGAGTGGCATGTCAATTACTTATTAAAACTTTTTTATTTATTTATTTGTTTTGTACATAAATAGGTGCAAATACTACCCAATTATTGGCATCGTTAGGTAAAGTAAAATGTTTCTAATAAATGAAAAGATTTGTCGGCTGTGGCTCAATATACATATTCAATTTGTTAGTAATAAATAACAAACTAAAGTTAGAACTGTTTTCACAGTCAGATGTGCATACTTTTCCTCATATTAGAAATAATGACATCTTATTTGCGACAATTCTCGTGTTTTTCATCTTGACTTATAATACATTCTCCAAGGTATATTCTGCCTTATCTTGAGTTTCGCCCGAAAAAAAATTTACCAATTAAATTTAAAAATTTANCAAGGTATATTCTGCCTTATCTTGAGTTTCGCCCGAAAAAAAATTTACCATAGTAAATACATGGAAACCAAAAGTGAAAAGTGAACGGGTTCGTGGAAAATGAAACTCGTGATAAGGCTTTCCCAGCATTGACATCACGATTCCAACAACTGCGGTATTTTATATACGGCATATGTATATATCGTATATATGTTATGAATAAGGAACAAAAATGGACAAAATTTTTTCTGCTGCTACCGGGATTAGGATAAGTCAGGCCAAACGGGGCTTATTACATACACATCACTCTTGATATGCGTCATTTATTTCACATACATACATACATATGTACATACATATATGTATATAGTTGTCCACAAAATGAAAGAAGCGCGGTATTTTGACCGTTTTTTTACTATTTTTCTTTTTTAGTTGTTTATAATACAATTAAATGGGCTACAAAATACCAACGTTTTTTGTAAAGATTCTGATTAAATAGTTTGAAATTATAGTGAAATTTTGCAGAATTTTCATAAATTTTGTATTTTAACTATGGTTTCCATGTAATTTTCGGGTGGATTTTTTTGGGCGAAACTCGGGATAAGGCGGATGTTGTTTGTTGTACACAAAAGAAAAATGGTCAAACCAACTTTATATATGTATGTATGTACATTATAAAACCCATTATATTTTAAGACTCACCAAAACATTTCGGAAAAATATTAAGATTTACGTATAAAAATAAAAGTGCAAAATATCACAGAATTTTCAGAAAATGTAGTTATTTGGTAATTTTATTAGCCATATAAGATAAATACACGTAAAATCATTGTTTAGAGCTGATAGTGAGAGAGTAACTTATTTTTATTGTCTAATTACCGGAGCAGCCCGGAAAGCGTGGGGAACGAAGCTATTAAATACGAAATAGCGTATTAAAGATGAGAAAATACGACTTCCACTTCGATAAATACTCGAAAAAAACCAGTGAAGACACCGATTGGAATGAGTGGAACGTGAGTTTTCAAGTAGTTTTCAGCGAAAACTGGTTTTCATTTGACAGATTTTACATGGACGAAAACACATGTTTTAGGTCGAAAACCAGTTTTAGCAACGAAAACATGTTTTCGATGTCGGTCAGAACATGGTATTAGATGACGAAACAGTTAGTAGTTAATTTGCATAGAAATATTAAAAAAAAAAAATTCAACGGAATCACAATAATGAGATTTTTGTTACTGGTTTTGAACTTTTTTCAAAGACTGGTTTAAGAAAAATTTAGATAACTCAGCCCAAATTTTACCGATTCAGAATCATCGAGGTATCATTGGAAAGGAATTTTCTCACCCCTTCTAGTTATTTGCTAATAAACTCTTTCAAAGCATGAAAGATAAAGGTAAGACAACCGAGCCTCATTCCATGTTGAATTAGGATAAAAGAAAAAATTGGGAAGTGAATGGTTTTTTTTTTTTTTGCAAATAATTAAAAAGGGTGAGAAGATACCTTTCCACTGATACCTCACAAATCTTTGTCGGTATAGTTTTAGCCCAGTCATTCAAGTTTTTCTTAAAGAAATCTTTGAAAAAATAAAAAAACAGCATCAAAAATCTCGTCGTTATGATTCCGTTGAAAAAATTTTTGAATATTTTTATGCAGATTTTTAAAGCTTAAACTATTTTGTCATCTGAGGGGATTTTGTGTTGAAAAATCCATTAAGAAACTATTATTCATAAAAAACTCAATTTTTGAAGGTATTTTCCAGTCGGTCAAGCTCCCGTAAATCTTAATATTTTTCCCAAATATTTTGGTGAAAGTCTTAAAATATAATAAATTTTGTAATCCGGGCGGAAAACCCGCAACTTTTTTGGTGTTGCAGTCTAATGCATGTATATAGTTTGTATGTCACACATTTAAAATCAATTAATTAATTTATATATGTCCAACAAAACACATTTAAACCCATGCAAACGTTTGTCAAATGTAACATGTATAAATTCCTTTCCCTTTCTTATATCGATGGTAGTTCGATGTACCGAATTAAAACATCGGTATTTTTAGGAAAGTTTGATGATTTTTTAATCTTATTTACAGATGTACATATGTACATTTATTAATTTAAGAATTTTATAAAAGTACCTATCATACGCTCCCTCAAAATTTTAAGGCGCACACAAAATGAAGTGGTTAAATACTAGTAAAGATTAGTAAACATCGATGGTTTGATTTAAAATTCATAAAAACATCGACAAAAATCGATGCTTGAAGCCAAGACCATCGGTGTTGCTCGATACATCGATGTCTTGTTACATTCCTAGATTGCTCATTACTACTATACGTTTTGCGATTTAAAAAGTGCAAGGAAATTTGTGGACTTTCGAGATAGTGAAATTGCTAATTGTGGACTTTGTTGTACTATATAAAATTTGGTGAGTGCTTTATATTAATATGTATGTAAATACATGTATATGTATTTATATTATTATGTATGTACATACATGTTCGTAATTTATTGCAAATGTTTTTTGAGTGAGTTTAAAGTAGGTTGTATCATGATAAAAATATAGTAAGGTAGAACCGCTGAGAGTCACTTTTAAAATTCTTGACGTTTCCAAACAATTTAATTTTTAAATTTACTCACAAACTCACACACACATTTTCATTTTCAATCTCAAGCAACAACAATTTCGAACAATTAAAATTTTTTATTTTCACTTTTATATGATTTTAAAATGTTGGCAAACTTCAAAAAAAAATCATTTATTTATTTATTTATTTATTTATTTATTTATTTATGCTTAACGCTTAACGCCAAACGGCTTTACGCTTAAAAACAATCACACAACAATCATGGCCGACAAATTGAGAGAACGGTTCTACCTTGCTATGTTTTTATCATGGGTTGTATGAAAGTACTGTGAAATGATTTGCGACTCATAATTCAAGTGTTGGCTAAGAAAAATAAGAAGGGGTGGAAATTTATGTACATATGTAACTACCAGCCTGTCCCCTTTTAGGGCTGGTTTCTCCAACTCAGCTTAGCCAATTTTTTGGTAGTCAAGAATAAGCTGAATAAATTATTTGATGTGCATGCAGTGAATTTGTGCAATTTGCTGTTTGAACGCAATAGAGATTATGTTTTTGAATGCAAATACAATGAAACTTTCAAAATAGCAAAATTTCATAAAGTCAATCATTCATAAAGTGAAAACAGCGAGACAGTGAAACAGCAGAAATTGTAAGCTTTTCAGCCGCATTCATTTCATTGAGCAGTATTGGCCTTGTCCCACCCGTGACAAAATAAAGCTAAAAGTTATATTTAAATACAGAAGTGGAAATTTATGTATGTACTGCCAGACATTTACACAGCAAATAATTTATGTATGTCCAACAAAACACATTTGAAGCCATGCAAACGTTTGTCAAATTTAACATGTGCAAATTCCTTTCCCTTATATCCTTTATATGGAATAAAAACTGAAAATAATTATATAAATTTGTAAAACGAAAAATCATTTCAAGTTTTGTACTTAAATAATATATGTTATATAAGTATGTAAAGCGCAGTGCACAATCACCGCTTACGAAACAAACAAAAAATCACACTAATATTAAAATATTGAGTCATTGCCACGTATAGCATACTACTTAAACATTCATACTATGATAATAGAGATAATAATTAGCGAAATTCATATTAAAATATTTACAGCGACAGTATCGAGACTGACTTTCATTCAGACATTTTTTTAGCTCTTTATCTTTAAGTTTTTGTGCCAGTCATTTCAAAGTTACGTAAGTTTAAATTTTAAGATTACATGCCACGTTCCGATCAAAGTCAGAGTCAATTTCCTATTTCGTCACCTGTACGCGCTGCACATTTTCACTAGAACATTGTACTAAAAATAAAGAAAAAAGCATTGTAATACATACATACATAGAATTATGAAATAAAAGTACATTTGTCATGCAATAAAATTGGTTTTACCGTGGGGAATTAATACCAAGACAGGTATAGCAATAGTTTTTAGGTAGTGCATACAAAAATGAAGAAAAGAATATTTCTATTAACTGGATGTGAGTCCTATGAATTGATTTATGCAAAAAATCGCAACATTTTTTTGTTGAGTTGATCGCACTTTAGATCTAGCTGTGCGATATGATCATAAAGATAGATACATATTTACAGATGGGCGATTCGAGTGAACAGTCTACCGCGAAAAAAAAGAAAAATAAAAGTCCTATATTTATCTTATTTATTTTATGTATAGGTCGATTTGGCTGCTTTTTATAATATATTCTAATATTCTTCGCTGTTAATACAAATTTTGTAGCAGGCAAATAAAGTTCCTCTCAATTTTTAAACCCTTTACGCATTCTGTGTACTCTTCAACGTCAAACGTCACGCCAGCGCGTATGTTTACTAATATCTTTAAATCGCTACTACCAACAGTTGTAATTTTTTTGACTATAAGGAGTTATTTAATTGCTATACAAATCTAGGTAAACCTTTTTAAAATTGTGACTTTTTCAATTTTTTTTTTTAACATCTTGTCATACAAGTGTGACGTAACGCCAAATTGGAAATACCGAGATATTAAAAAAGTATATACATTATATCAAAGCCCTATAAAAAAAAATAATTCGACAGCTTCGTAATTAGGTTAGTTAAAATTTTGAAATTTCTTGCCACTTTCTTTAAAACCTTTTGGTAGTTTCAATTTTAAATCTTTTTGAAATCGTGAACAGAGGAAATATTAACAAAAGAAATATAGAAAGCGAAAAAACTAATAATGCCGCATACGTGTTTTTTATGCAAGGGTGCGAAGTGCCGTGACTCCATGCTCATCTTACCGAACGACGAATATGTAAAAAACAAACAGTGGGAGCTAGCTTGCCACGTGTCTTCCGTCACCAACAGCACGTATTTGTGAGGATCATTTTTAACACCTCCGACCTTTCTAGTACGAGCTTAAAGCGTTAGCGATTGCATCCGGAATCAGTTCCGTCAAAGCAAATACCAGTGCCCAATCTATCCAATGTGGAAAGAATGTACGAAATTCAATTTTATTTAATTAATAGGAATTTATCTTTGCGATTATTATCAATTTTGATTACAGAACAAAAATTGTTGTTTTTTCAAACATGTGTTTTCTGAGGGTTAATTGAAATAAACAACAAACACCAACACATCAGTTCACGTATGAATAGTCAAATATGAATGTTGTCATTACTTGGCACACCGTTCAATTGGCACTGTGCATGCCACCTTCTGTATTGCGTTTCACCATGCTTGTCGAAGAGACTAAATGATTGACAAGCCTACAAAAAAATAATCGGTTACAAAAAGCAGCACAAACAGCTGATTNACGTATGAATAGTCAAATATGAATGTTGTCATTACTTGGCACACCGTTCATTTGGCACTGTGCATGCCACCTTCTGTATTCGTTTCACCATGCTTGTCGAAGAGACTAAATGATTGACAAGCCTACAAAAAAGTAATCGGTTACAAAAAGCAGCCATATGTTTCCCACAAACAGCTGATAGTCCAGAAATAAATTTAACTGCTGTTGTGTTGTGAAAAAATGGTATTTTCTCGCCTTATACGGCCATTACTGGCAATTCGTGGAGCAGTTGGTCGATCGTTGGACGAACGTGCTAAGTTAGGCTATATGACACAGAGTACACACTTCCGCAGTGGTGCATTAAAACCCAAACCACATCAAACTCCATTTGGCATTGTGTTCGTTTTCTGCGCTGTTCTTCCCGGTTTGTTTCTTGGTGCTGCAATAAGCAAGAGCGTGGCTAACTTTCTCGAAGAAAATGACCTTTTCGTGCCATCAGAGGATGACGATGACGATGATGACTAAGAAAAAAGCTTAAAAAATACTCAAAACTTCTTAATTTACCTAATGCAATAGCTGAGCTTTCTCTCTGTTTCTAAATTAAGATGGAATAAAACATTCGACAAATTGGAACTTCAGGTTTGTTCATTTTTACAGTAGGGTCTACGTAACCGGAACGTCCAGATTTATATCTGGGCAAGGGCTGTCATTCCAGCTACACTCCCTAAAAACTGGGGAATTCGTATGCTGTTACAACAACGTACGCAATTGGACAAATTTATTAGTACTAATTTAGTTTATTTATTGCATTCGTATCCTATTCGTTTGGTCAACAAAAGAAAATCATTTAGATCTGTTTATCAAATCCGAACTACTAGATTCTCTCTGCATTCACCTTTATTCATATTACACAATTACAATAAAACATATTCCAAATAAATGCAAAAGTTCGTTCGCTCTGATCAATACAAACATATATTTTTAAGCGCAAAAAATGCTGACCGGGATTAATTCACCAAATTATATGACTAGATGCAAGCACACTCAACGTTTTGTACGTTCAATTGACATTAAAGTTGAATATCGAGATCGTCAGTAAAAGTGACGATACGGCCATCGTCAGCCATGTTGCTGATGCGCTGACGATCGTCGACGATGACGATGACGATATTCAGCATAGGGATCAAAATGTTTTTCTAATTAATTTCTAACTAAAAGATTATATTTATTTCATAATAATGTAAAACTCTAATAGTAGGAATACATTAAACCTACACATCACTTTCCAAATACATTCAAATTATTTGGTTACAAAATACTACGGCCATGCAAAAAATTTGCAACGAGCAATAGCAGAAATGAACTTGTTATATATATGCTACCAGGTAGCGAGCGGCGTATCGGGAGAGTCGGGTCGCTGTCACGCTGAGCGAATAGTTCCAAATCTTCTTCATAAGTGGCGAAATTATTCCAATTTAAACATTTTTGGACTGCATAATTCCAACGTCTATAGAATTGTTCTCTCCCTATCACAAATATACTTTTTTATGTAAACTTTAAAAATATTTCATTTTATTTACGATTTTCCGTGGTTGTAGGGCTGAAGGCATCCACTGGTGGTGGGTACATCACCTCTGCTTGTAACAAGGATACCACATTCATAGTGATACCCGCACATATCATTGTACCTAGACCTGCCGGTGACGTTGTTTGAGGCCTTTCCATCAAACAGCCCACAATGTCTGCAATGAATTGAATGAAAGCATTGTTTTCGGCATAATCCCCACCAAACACTAAACGCTCTTTATTGTTTTTCCGATTCCATGTGGGGGTATCCCGTTTAAAAGCATCCAAAACTTCATGAATTTGAAACCCCGTTGCTTCGTACGCGGCTTGTGTAACATTTTCTGCTGTTGTTTGACTGGTCAAGCCCAGAATTATTCTTTAAAATATACAATATTTAAATTGTATATAAATTTACATTATTTTTAGGTACTATTAATAGAGGGAATTCTTACCCACGTGCATCGTGGCGCCAGTATGGCGCATATAATCCATGGAAGGCGGGAACAAAAGTTATCTCTGATCGCTTTGCTGCCAGGCCACATTCTGCGTTTAACATACCTGACGAACAAGAAGATGATATCATAGAACTTTCCCCCAGAAAAGTGTTCAGCACCTCCACTACATTGTCATTAGAATTTATTTCTGTGCTTATACGCAAACCTTGTTGAAGCCAATTCACCGTAGCACCAGCATTCGAAATAGCACCTTCCAATGAATAGCAGGAAGGCGCTTGTGGACCTAATTTGTAAGCCACTAATGACAGCAAACCATGAGAAGATTCGATCATTTCTTCTCCTGTATTAAGCAGTACAAAACAACTGTCATCAATGATGCAAACATTTTGACCAACTTTTGTTTGTAGCTGGCCTAACAAAGCGGCCGGTTGTTCGCCAATGCACTGCGGATGACACAAGCCATACAATTCCGATCAGATTACAAAATAATTTTAATTCATATAATAAACCATACCGCTGCTATAGGAAGGCCATTAAGTGGGCCGCCAATGACATAACCATATAGCTCGGAATTTGAGCGTATACGCGGCAGTATTTGCATGGGAATGCGAAAAAATTTACAAAGCTTAACGTCCCATTGTAGTGTGCGCATGTTCATTAAACTAGTATAGCCTGCGTTCGTAACATCTGTTGCATGAACACCACTTATATTGGAGCCTGTAAGGTTCTATACAGAAAAAGATCTCGATAAACAAAATCACTAAAGCTTTCAAATGCCATGTCTACCCATAAAATCCATGAATCAAGAGTTCCAAAAAGACACGTACCCTTCTCCAAGGCTATTGATGCAGCTGCTACATTTGCTTGTAACCACTTTATCTTTAAAGCACTAAAGCACGTACTTAGCGGCAGTCCAGTTTTGTGTCGCAGGTAATTCACATCATAGTTAACATTAGCAAGCATCGATTTCAAGAGGGGAGCAGTTCGGCAATCACTCCAACCTAAAACACGAAAGAATTGTAATGTAATACCAAACAGTAAAGAAAAACTGCTTCACGTTACCGACAGCGTTACACAAAGGGTCGCCAGTGTGTTTGTCCCATAAAATTGTTGTTCCTCGTTGGCTACATATGCCTATAGCTATTAAATCATAAGGATTAATTTCCAAAATAACTAAATTCTTATAAGCAGTCTGTCAAAAATATATTATTTAATTATTTAAATAAGTCATTTAAAATTTTAGTTGTATACCTCAATGCACTCCTGTGCGCTCTTCCATATTTCTGCCGGATCATATTCTAACCAACCTGCATTATGAACAATTTGCCGTAATTTTAATTCATGAAACGTTAAAACCTCTGCATTTTTTGTGGAATATATCTGAAATCAATTGTTTTTTCTTAAATCTACAAGAGATTTTTGTTGAAATTTTAGTACGTACAAGAAAACGACAATACGAGCTGCTCACGTAAATCACACCAATTAATGGACCAAAGCTCCCAAAACTGGGGCTGGCCATACTTAACACGATTTAACACGATATTAAAAATTCAGCTAAAAGTGGTAGACAACTTTAGACGAACAAAAATAAGATTGCATAAAGAAAATTCGCTTGATTTCAACTGCTGATTTGCTTGATTACTCCAGTGTTGCCGCTGTTAAGGTTTAGTGGTGGCCAGATTCGATTTTAAAAGTGGCATAATAAAAATATTTTTTAAATTAATTTTTTCTAAGTCAGGTACCTGACTTATTTAGAGAGAACTGTTTGAAATAGGGCAAATTTCTTTAAACGAGGATATGTACATGTATGTAGTTTGTAGTCTTATTGCATGACGCTTCTTCGGAACCAGATGTCTCAAGCAAAAAAATCATACTCGGCAACCGCTTTGAATTTGGAGCGCTTTTCAATGAGGAATAGTAGTTATAATACATAAGAGTGCCACACTTTTTTCAGATGGATGATAAATTTTGAGCATGGAAAAAGATATTCACTTTAACATTTAGAATAAATTTAAGCAGTAGCTAAAAAAGAGGCTGTTGGCAAAAAAATGTTGGTGGCAAAAAAAGAAGTCGTTAGTAGAAGTAGTGTTTTTTGAAAATTAAAACAGCAAAAAAAAAAATTATTTAGTGCCTAGTGCTTCTTTCTGAACTAAAATTACTTCGAGATAAAATAATTTGAAATATTTAAGGCTGTGGCAGCACTGAATTTACAAGAAACCCACCTTGTTAAATTGTATTCGCGTTGAAAATGCTAGTACGCAATTAAGTTAAGTATTTTTTTTTCTTTTCTAATTATTTGTACAAATTTTGTTGTTTTTTTACACATCGTTTCTTGGTGCTAAATCCAAATCTGAATTTTGAGATATCCTAACCTCAAAGTGCTAAAAACACGGTTTTTAGCGATATTTTAGGTTATATAATGAAAACATCAAATTATTTGCTCATTTCTAATTAGGGCATCATTTTCGTTTGATGCGATTCGATCTTTCTTTCTCGAGATATACCAGTTTTAATGTGAAGTACTTTGGTATTACGTTATGAAAAAAGCATCCCTTGATTAAAAAAAATTTGGTGATTTTAGTGTGGTAAAACGCTTTTTTCCAAGTTTTTGGTGCTTTTTGAAAATAATAAGATGGCAACAGTGGTGCTGATGATGTGAAATTCGGGGAGTAACGTGAAAATGACGTCATCATGATTCAATAATTAAAACGAAATATACTAAACTCATGATGCAATAATACAGGTCAAGATACAGGTGTTATCAGTTGGCAACTTCTCGCTCTAATTCCGCCATATTAGTTGCGTTCCAGATGCTTCACGATATTCACGAATTGCAGGAACAGCTGTTTTCCCCATTAATAAACCTTATGGGAGGTGGTCACCTGGAACGACTTGCTGTAAAAACCTGCAAATCGTGAAGCATCTGGAACGCAACTATTGACTGCCTTACGTGAAACAGTATTACNAAGTAAACAACGAAATATTTGAATATGTATAGATTTTAATAATTATTTAGTGATATTTCAGCCAAATCAGTGTAGCACCAATGACATGTAAACAAACCGTCTGACGTTTTTACAGGAAATAGTGCTTTTTGCGTACCTATGCACTTCTGCATCTGTCCTCCTTTTACTCTCATTTGAGAGAGTAAAATTGTAGTTTGACAGTTCCACAGGTTTTAGTCCGAAGTTCAAAGGAACAGACTATCTACTGAGCTAAGGCAGTGTCAAATCGAGCTATCACAACTGATACCACCTTGTATTATTGCATCATGAACTAAAATCGTATGATTCTATCCATGATAAAAACATAACAAGGTAAAACCATTGAGAGGCAGTCTGACGTTTGCCAACAATATAATTTTAAAATCAAAACTCAAACTCACACACACATTCTCATTTTCAATCTCAAACAACAACAATTGTGAACAATTTAATTTTTTTATTTTCAATTTTATGTGATTTTAAAATGTTGGCAAACGTCAGAAAAAAATCATGGCCGACGAAATGAGAGAATGAATTTACCTTGTAATGTTTTTATCATGATTCTATCTGTGTGTCAGATGAAAATAGAAACATTTCTATTCCGTATGTACTTGCGTCTGCTTTGTACAGATACAAATCTAAGATTCTAAGATCTATAGATTCACCTTGGAGAGTTTCACATCATGTCATCCTTGCTTGATCCTTGCCATCGATGGTTTTAGATAGCTTTATAGACGCATCAACTGCAGTTTATTCCCGAGTTGATCCGAGTTCTCTCCGGTAGTGCATATAGCCCAAACCCATGAACGAAAGACACAAGATCACCTAAGAACAAGAGAGTGAAAAAAGTCGAATTTTTTAGCGGGTTCTACGCCATCTTGTTTCACTGGAAAACGAGCAAAAAGTAAACAAAGCAAAGAAAACAACGAAAACCAAAATTAGCCAAAATTATTGTCAGCCACTTTAAACGCACAATTTAGGTAAAATGATGCAACAAAATGCTTTAAAATGTGTTGTCATGTTGAATTAACTCTTCTTTACTTGAATAAAAGTGTAAAATAGTGGTGCTTGTTATGTAAACAAACGCTCAGCTGACGAACCCGCTTTCGCAAACTTTTTTCTCAAAACCAGTTACAAATACAACGTCGCGTTCTTACGTGACCTTGCATTTTTGGTTCATGGCCCAAACCGATTAGGATGACAGCAAAATGGAGAAAACGAAAAGTAGGTACAGCAGTGCAAGGCGGGTAATGCAGGGCCGAAGGACATAGGACATGCGATGAGGACATGCGCACACAATATACAATAACATGAAAAGGAAGTTAAAAGGACGCAGGTGACGTTGTTCTGCACTGAAAAGTANAAAACCAGTTACAAATACAACGTCGCGTTCTTACGTGATCTTGTATTTGTGGTTCATGGCCCAAACCGATTAGGATGACAGCAAAATGGAAAACACGAAAAGTCGGTACAGCAGTGCAAGGCGGGTAATGCAGGGCCGAAGGACATAGGACATGCGATGAGGACATGCGCACACAATACACAATAACATGAAAAGGAAGTTAAAAGGACGCAGGTGACGTTGTTCTGCACTGAAAAGTAGTTTTTAAAAATCGTTGCTCGAAAGAAATTTTAATTACTACAATAACAAAAACTAGTGATAATTCTAACAGAATGCGTGAAACTAATGGACCAGACTTCGGTGAGTTTTTACAAACTGCAATTAAAAATTTAACTGCAATTTAAAACACATATTATTTTAGATGATAAACTGATCCGCTTGGTGCGTGATAATCCGGCCATTTATGATGTGAGCCACGAGCACTACAGACGCTACCAAGTTAGAGTTGCGATTTGGGATCGTATTGCTGCGGAGCTTCGAACACCGTGTACGTATTTATTGATTTGTCTCATACATGTATACATAGTATGTATGTGTATAGATAGGGCTCGTTCGAGATGTAATCACAACCGCAGTATTGCACGAATTATTAAAGTATCCCATTTGGTGTGAATTTCTAGCAACGTTTTATCAGTTGGAAAGTTGCAACAGTATTGTAAATTTTCATCAGGGCTGCAGTATTGCCGCTTTTATTACGTGCCTCGAACATGCCCATAGTATTGCAACCGGCGATTTTATCATACATTTGAATGTATGTACATACATACACATATTATGTATATTAAAACATTTTTACTTACATACATATATTGCGGGCAGCAAAATTTCTTCAAACGAAATGGAAAAACATACGATACAATTACTTGCAAGAACTCAAAAGCTTGGAAACCGGATTGGCAAATGCGAATATACGCAAACGACGGTTTACCGAAGACTTATCATTTCTGCAGAATACAGCACAAACTTATAAGAAGTACTCCAGCTCGTAAGTATAACCATCCCTTTTCTGATATTGGTTATTGATTTAAAAACATTGATTCCAGCGATAATGATAGCAATAGCTATCTCTACGCGGATCCACAGAATGCCAGCACCTATGAAATCATTGAAATCGAGCACAGCGACGACGACAACACACCAATGGAGTACGATCCTATGGACTATCATATTGATCATTCTAGGCCGCCTCTTCAAATTTATGAGAACGAAAAATTGTCTTCCACAAGAACTAATGAATGCTATGAAGATGATCAACTTCTAACGGAACTGCCTACAGCATTCAAATCGGAAAAGTCGAGTGAACCACGGACGGATGCTTCAACACAACATAAAGTTAAATTAACACCACCTCCAAACGTTTTCGCAACTCCTGAAGGCGATAGTTCTCATACGCAAATCGCGATATGTCCACCATCACCGATGCAATCACATGCTTCAAGTCCTTTGTCGCTAGCGCCGATCGTCGTTATGGGCAATGATCAGACTTTTGCTTCTAATGGTGAAGCATCTTTGAATCCAATACCAAAGCAAACAGCTACATCATCTACGCTGGGGCACCAAAATGATGTTGATTCTGTCGATAAAAGCACACCAAACGATATCGTGTCTAATGCTACAAAGAGAAAGTCGATGCCGGCGCCATTTCCAGTTCTAACGCCCATTAATGATCCCATCGAACTATATTGCCTATCACTGGTTGATAGCTTGCGTAATATGGCCCGTGCAGAGCGGGAGCGTGTCAAGTTTGAGTTCGCTAAAATACTCAAAGATGCCAAGTACAATGATCAAAGTTAATCTATTAATGAGGGACAAAATGGATTTAATTTACAATGAGAATAAAATGTATTAAATGAAAACGATCCGATAAAAAAATTTTGGTTTTACTTAGTTTTACTAGTATTTCCTCCAAATGTATAGACATATAAAACTATATAGATAAATGTAATATTCATCGAAATTTAAAATATATAAACATTTAAACCATTTATATAAAGTTGTTTTTTTTTGTCTCTGTTTTCCAAAACTATAATTCTCCCTCCTGTAGCTAGGCTGAATTTGATTTAGCACTTTTTTCTTATAGCGTTTGTTTTTAATTTTTCACTAGTCAAACCTATAGTTACACTTTTTTTAATTAACCCGTAACTGGTATCGATATTTCAAGTTACGTTGTTGGTGTATATGGTCCATTCTCTATCTCGTATCATAAATAATAATTTCAATTTAAAAAGGTATATAAGTATACCCCGAACGCAAACTCCGTAAAATTAAAAAATGTGTTAAGTGAAATGGTTGGGACCATAATCGCGCTATTGTTGAAAAAAGTTTGAAACTAATCAACAGGGAACGGATTTTATGGAATTTGCCTTTTTTTCTGCTAAAGAGAAAGAGTATATTCGATTGAGTATGTCCACGATTTAGTTCGCCCTGATTCCATATATACAATTGATGTCGCCTTTTTTGCCTTTTTTAAGATATTTGCCTTTTTTGCCTATTTTATGACCTTTAAAAAAGTGATCATAGCGAGGAAAATGCCTTATTCCTGATAAATAAAAGTTTTCAAACGTTCCATATTTAAATTGGGCGACACTTGTATCAACTCACGACGAGCGCACGTTTAGAATATTCAAGGCTTTGTTAAAGCCTATTCTGTTACAAAAAATCAAGTTGATAATGAAGTAAATCGATGGGAAAATAAAGAAGTAATAAGTGGTCATATGAAAATGCACAAAGATTTTTTGTATGAAAAATGAGCAGGAAATAATGTTACTCTTACGCCTTGTACACCTGAAAATATCTCGAGAACTTATCCGTAGAATAAAAAGTAACTCGATTTTCGGAATCAGCGAGCAATTCTTTATAGGAATTGGCTATGTAGTGGCGTCCGTTGAACATTTTTCCTGTAAACCAAAGTTATTTTTCAGTTTTTGTCTTTTTTTATTGCTTTCTTTGCTATTTCTAATGCATTTTCCTGCCTATTTCGCTATTTTATTTTGCCTTTTCCAGCCTATTTCGTTATTTTATTTTGGCTTTTTTATAGGTTTTTAGGTCCTTAAAATCCGTTTCCTGCTAATCAATAAAAGTATGGTAAACTGATCTTCTTTTTGTTCTAAAAATAAAGGAGTTTTTGGATCATAGAAGCAGTCGTCAACACATTTATTCAACACGTCTCCACCAATAATAGAATGATATATCGCAATGACTTGAATCTTTAAATTTAGCAAAAACAAAAAAGCATTTCAAAATTATTCTCACATAAAAGTGTTGATTTGATTGAAAAGTAACTTGTTAAGGACGATAAAATGTTAATAAACTTACTATATATTATGTATTATGTATTGTAAGTGCATAACAAGAATAATAGAGATAAGGATAATCAGGCAGGTTCTGCAATTCACTTCCGAGTGAATTTCAACCCCTGCCAATTTGAATTCTACGCGAATCCGACTCAAATTCACTCGGAAGTGAATTGCAGAACCTGCCTGAATATGTATATTTGTATGTATGCATATGTATACAAAAGTTCCATGAAAAGTAATGGTTTTGAACCCACATTTAATTATAGCATTAATTTTAAAAACCTGCCAAGTTGTAAAAATATAAAAACTCGTGGAAATGCTATTCAATTTTAGCATGTAAAAAATATTTGGGTTTTTCCTTTTCCCAATGGTAACGAAATTACAAATATGTACATATACATATATACGTATATATACGTATGTATATATGCATATTTTTGTGATAAAACCAAACAAGAAGAAATTTCAATGGAATTAATTTTCTCGTCTTGTTACATCATGTACGCCGGTGTTAATTTCATGTACAAAGTATCGACAGTGTCTTAATTAAGGTCCTTTGTTTTTTGGTTGCCAATGGGTGCTGGTTCACTTTTCCTAAGTGTACCAACGGGTTCGACTGTATTGGTGAAATAGTCATTGTACGGTGTATTGAGGACGCTAGGTGGCTCCCTTTGCTGCTGCTCAACCTGTTGCAATTGACGCGAGCTGCTAGGCCTATTCGTTTGGTCAACAGCTGAAAAGAAAATAATCATTTAGATCTGTTAATTAAATGAATAGAAATGAAACTACCTTCTAGCTCGTTTTTATCATTGATATCGATAATATCAGATAAGTCATACATGGGTTGGTAGGACATAAGCTCTGAGCCTAGTGAAAAGAAAAATAAAAATTAAAATGATGAACCGCACGTTATAAACTTGTGTTCATTTTGAAAACATTGTTGGCACCTACCCTTCTTATCATTGTTCGCTTCGTTGATAAAGTTCAAACCATAGGGTCCTAAAATGTCGGAATCATTGAAAAGCTGAAAGAAACAAAACATTAAGTAAAATATTTTAAATTTGGCGGATGGTTTTGAAAGGTTTCCAAGTGCTTCTTTGACGACCCAATTGCGTTTCAGGTATTAAGTGTGTGAGAGTTTAACCAAGTTTTAGGAAAAGCAAACCTTTAGTGGAAAAATAGAGTTAAACTTCATGTAAGTATTTATCATATTTTTCCACGAACTATTTTCGGTTTCCACATTATAAATCTATAATGGCTTAGAACTTTAGATTATTTTTTGCTTTTCCAATCACACATTTGCAGCCATAATGCAGCTCAGACTCGGAAGAATAATTAAAATGAAAACTTCAATAAGTGGCTGACCTTGGTAAGAAAGTCCCCATCCAGTTGTGATGAGAGGGAAATTCGGTTACTTGGATTCGTATTTGTGACATCTCCGGTCTGGATACATACATCAGAAAAATCGTTTAAAGGGTTTCATGCATTTATTTTTTGTGGACATAAAGCAGTTTCGTTCATGATTGTATTGTTTGTGTACGTTATTTATTCATAGTAAAAAAGAGAAATCATAATCGTAAATAGTAAGATATCAAAAATTTACTAACATGTGAAAAAATCGACAAAAAATTTTACAAATAACGGCGAGCACGCGACTTTACGAAATGTTAATAGACAAGTATCGTTTCTGTTCATATACTTACTACGACCACATAGTACAATTTTTGAATAACTGGATCATGGTACGCTCCCACCCATATTTATTGTTGTTTTGCAATATATAAAAAAATTTGTACTTATTGCATTTCCCTTTCAATGCATATTTTATGTTTGATGTTATTCTCGGAAAAGTGCTGAATAAAGAAATGAACAAGTAATTTTTAAGCAAAAAACAAAACCGACTCGAATTCTCATATAAAAATTTAAGATTATAGTTAATTTCTTTATGATCCGATTTAAACCAAATTAATATGGGACCAACTGTGAGATAACCCTTTTCTTTAAAAAAGAATTATAGAAATCGGTTAAAGTGGTCCAAAGTTATGCGGTAACATACATAAAAAAAAAAATATTTCGACGAATTGATAACCTTTCTCCTTTTTGTGAAGTTGGTTAAAAAGTCATAAGACTTCGGATATGGTTCGGATAGAGGCCAAAACGGACGTGACAAAAACAGAAGTTGGTTCAGAGTTCATGTAAGATTAGGCAAAACTCTGCGAATCCTGTGAGGCTTTCCTTTGTTAAACATTCTTTAAATAAAGTAAAGTTACGGACCATTATAAGCAATTCATATCTAATCACAAGCAATTCGTGGTTGGTTTTATTTTGAATTAAAATGTGATAACGGACATGATCGATTTTCCCCCATACATTTACTAATAAATTATTAGTAATAATACATATCGAGGTCCTCTGCAATACCGACACATTCAAATTCAAAAAATAATATCCGCTACTACTAATATCCCTTACTAATGTTTAAGTGGCTCATGTCTTTAATCCTTGTATAATCCCTACTAAAGTAGGTAGTATGAATTCCTACAGTAAGTAGTAAAGATAACAGATGCATAAGACACAGATTAGAGACATGCACCACTTTACGTTAGTAAGCTTTATTTTACTTATTTTCAATTTCGTCGTTATTGTAGAGGCCCACCGATACGTATATAATTTAGTTCAGTTCTTCACCGTTTCGCGTTTACATAACCTTATTTTCCAACTGAATACGAAATTTTTAATCCATTTACTTGCAATTTCAATTTACATTTTCATGGAAACACCCATATGTTTAACGCTGTTACAACAACAAATCAGTGAACAACTATCATTTCAATACCAATTTTGTAAATACTTACGCCCAAAAGAGTGTTGGCATCCAATGAATAGCCATCACTGCGCAGTAAATCCTTAAGCGATTCCAATTCATCCTGAACATTATCCAAGTGGCCATTAACTTCATCCCTAAGCGAACATAAGCAAAAATGAATAAAATACATTAGTTTCATGAATTCTTTTTGGGTAACTAAGATGACCCTCGGTAGTACTCAACCTCATAATTTCTTCATTGCCAGGGCCACCATTTTTATATTTGGTTAAAGACATATTGTTGCCATTAGTACTCTTTCGTTGTGAGGAAACAAGAGTACCACTGTTGCTGGCCTGCTTGCCGCCGTTGGAAAATTGATTAGCAGCAGCAGCAATGGCGGCGGCTGCGGCAGATGTCGAAGCTCCGTTTGACGGTGATGCCGCGCCGTTGCCATTGTTGTTATTGCGCGCTACAAACGAGGAGAACTTGCCACTATTTACCGTTGAACGTCCTAATTGGCCCTGCTGTTGCTGTTTTTGAGGGTGATGCGGCTGCTGATTATAGCCACTCGGTTCAGAAGATATTAATGACGATTCCTACGATTCGCGAATATTTACCGTTAAATGTTTTGATTATCATATAAGGTGCGCCTACCTCAAATATATCAGCAGGCATTTCAGGAGTAATAAATTCATTTGGATTGTAGAAGTTTGTTGTTTGGGATCCACGGACGAGTAATGCGTCGTCATTAACAGGGCCCGTTGGCGACATTGCAGCAGTGACTATGCTACCAGTATTCAATATACCAGAATTGCTTCCGTTCGATGAATGAGATTCATCTTTAAGAGTTGACGAAATGTGGCGATTTTCGGGTCCCATGAGTTGATCCTCTGTGAACACATTTAAAAATGACATTGGATCGATCTTTTCGGACTTAATCAGTGTTGGTGATAGGCGTTTTGCACCAGTATTTTGGGTGGTCGATGTTGTTGTGATGCCGGCTGCTTCTCCCTCAGCATCAGCCTGTTTGCGACGTCGCTTGTTTCTTTGTTTAAGCTGCTTCGAGCGCGCCATTTGTTCCCGCACCATGGGCGTGGTCAGTACGTTTTCCTCGCTATAATTTGGTGATGCTGACGGCAAATTGTCATTCTGATGCACATCTATAGCATCAGGAACCTCAGTGACGTGATAGAAAATATGCGATCCATCAGGATTTACGGACTGTTTAATTGACGAATCCGCGCCTGCTCCTACTTTCTGCGAGCACATGGCACTGGTAGCGTCGCTTCCACCTAAATTCATGCCACCAGCGGCATTCATTGCTGTATTAACAGCATCTTCTGCGCTCTGATTCGAGTATTCGTAATGTTGCGATATCATACTAATGCTCGAATGGGGACGCTCCATATTTAGAGGTGAACCACCGCTTTCGACATCAGTAGCTGGTGTCAGCTTACCATATGGACTTGCTGCCTCCCTACAAATAAGCAATGAATAAAATACATACAAGCATAAACAGACTGCAGCGTTGATCCGGATCAACTCGGGAATTAACTGCAGTAATCCGGATTAAGTCCGAGCTAATCTGGATCAACTCTGCCGTCTGTTTAAGCTTTAACCCTCATCTGTTTCAACAGTGAGCTTACATTAAATCAATATCGGGATCGGTTACTTCATCAAGAAGCTCTTCCCCGAGTTCATGAATAACTGGACCGCATTCGGATTCAGATTCGCTTTTCTTGCGTAGCTTTGCATTCTCCGGGGTATCATGAATCATTAACTGCATATGGCGTTTCACGCTGGTCATGTTGCGCGATGGTTGTACAATTGTAATCAAAAACTGTATGAGCTGAAAACGAAAAGGGGAACCGGTGAGAACACGAAGGAGGTGAGCTGCAGAAAAAAATTACTTACTTTATTTACTATTTGCTGTTGCTTGGCATGTTTTTGTCGTAGCGACGCTATTTCACGCCATAACGCCTCATTTTCCTGTTTCATTACCGAAAAACGGGAATCTAGTGAGTCCTGACGTCCACGCATTGCCTTAACATCTTGAAGTACCTTCGTAACGGCCTCAGGCTTCAAACCAGATTTGTCATCTAAACTTTTTGTGTTTGCAATTTTACGTTTAATATGTTCAAGCAAAAATGGGCAGTTGCGTTTGAAGCAAGGATGTGAAAATTCCATTTCATCACGATCGAATTTCAAGCCACCATTGTCAATTGAAGTTATCTTGTGGAATCCATCTGAAGAGCAAGGACTCTAATACAATATTACTCTTTTATACACAACATCATACTTACACATGTTTAGCTGTCTTATAAAACTTGCCATATTATTATGCTTATAATTCAGCGGCAACAGTTCGCGTGCAAATTGGGCTTGGTTTTGTATTATGAAACTTCGACCATCCTAAAAAATTTGTAGAACAAGTATATACACATGCTGCCATTATATTTTGGAATAAAAAATGTTCAAAGTATGTATATACGTTTAAAAGATCAGCAGAAAAATCTTCACTAATTTTAACAACGGAATCAAAACAATGACATTTTTGGAGGTATACTCGAAACGGTCTTGCTCACGTTAATCTTAATATTTCTCCGATATATTTTAGCGAGTCTTAAAATATTATAAATTGAACAATTCCGATGGAAAAAAACGCAACTTGTTTTAGTGATGCACCATAATGTACCTACACACATACAAATGTATTTATAATTGAGGCGATTTCGTTTTCCAAAGATTCGCTTTAGATAATTTCTAATACCTGCCGCCAATTTTCTCAATACTGTAACTGTAATAAATTAAACAACTCATTTGGGGTGTTCACAGTTCGTTCCAAATTGTGTCTGAAATGTAGACGTCTACATTTCAGACACAATTTGGAACGAACTGTGAACACCCCAATTACATGAAAAATTACGATTTTTTTGTTATATAGGGGCTTTAAAAATTAGCGATATAATATTTATATACAGATGAAAGATAGATTTAAGCCGAATTAGGAAATTTTTTAATTTTATTGAAAAACAAAAAAAAACCATTAATATAAGGTCTAGATGGATCACCCTATTTTTATATCAAATATACCCCCTTTCTCAAAATTTGGAGTGAGAGTTCACCGGGGACTGTGCAAACAGCTTTTCCAAGGCATTTCGTAAATGTATTGAGCTTCCGCGTACTAGACTGCTCAATCGGCCTGAGCAATCCACACCTCGAACGCACACTGGACTGGGCAGTCGACCGAAAACATGTTTCAGTTTTGTATACGTGAACGTCTATGTTTGCGTGTCAGTCCACAGTCAATCCGCGTTTTTGGCGGTGTGAAATGGACGAGGCAAACTCGAACACTCTCCCCCTCTTATCCACACAAAACCGGTTTAAAGCGGACTGAGCAGTCCAGTTACAACGTTTTAAGGTGTACTAAGAAAATACATACATGCGTACATTTTGGCACAAACCTCAAGTAATTTTTTTTTCATTTTAAGTTCGACTTACTTTACTCCAGCAAATCAGGTGATTGGTATCCGGATCATCCACTAGACGCCAAAGCTTGGCTAAAAAAGCCGGTACACCGGCACCGGTTTCACTGAAGGTATGCATCGGTTTTTTCGTTGGTACTTCTTGTTTATCGGCGTCTGGTGGCTGGGCTCTCGTTTTTCTTTTGATGCTATTAGGCGATATTGGTGATGTTGAAGTTTTCTCTTCCTATAGATGTTGTTTCGTATTCTTTAATATTTATTGTACACTTCAAATTGTTCAAATCAAATTATTGTTGTTGCTAGTACTGTTGTACATAAAAAATAACACAAACATTCCTATATACATATGTACGTATATGTGTGTCCTCAAGGAAAATATGGATATTTTCCATTTGGAAGTAATGCAGAAACATACCTCTTCGCTGCTTATAAAAACAAAGTAGAAGTTATGAATCGACATTGTGTTCGTTTCACTACTTATGGAAACAATACAACTGTCCCGGATGTTGTCCATATCGAGAGCTTACAATCAATAAAATCAGTCTGCAATTTTCACAAAAACTACTTTCTGTTGTTGGAACCCATCTGCGGCATAACGGTCATCATAGATGTTAATTTTAACTTTTTCACCCGATATGATCTTGGGTTTGCATATTTCGGTGCATTTGTAAATTCCCAACAATAAAATGAAAACGGTTGGCATGGTAGCAAGCATAAAATTTGCAAATACAAATCAAAAATCATTTGCACAATATCCGGAACAGCCCTAATGTGAAAATATTGTTTCCACTCCACTATTACCCACTGGGAAAATAGGTAAGCACCTTACGAGGTAAGCCATGTTTTCTTTCAGTTTTTAGTACCAAAATTGCTATCATGACCAATGTCATCTACTAGTAAAGCACAAAAAAAGGTTACATATAGATCATTTACTCCAAATTTACGGCTAAATCTTCTCGGCTGAGATTTCCAATAATAAACCACTTCGCATTTCAGGGAATCAATCAATCAATCAATCAATCAAAAGGGGTGATGAGGAAGTGCTCATTGACTGATATCTTCAACGTTTTGTGTATAAATGCTAACAGTTTTAAAGCTATGTGTTGTTAAAATCTCCCCATTACTTCACGTTTACTTTTATATAACGACTGCACTAATCACTCTTTTTATTAATATATGTATCATCCTTTCTTCATAAACAAATGAATGCACATCTTTGCTTTACTAAATATTTAGCAATTAATGTATATAAAAGTGTGCTTTAAATAAGTTTATATTCTGTAAACACAATTGCTGAGCGATGGTCGCGAAGTACATGTGTATGTAATGCCAGATCGTTGAAAATTTAAATAAATATGTATATATGTATATCTTTACCCAAAAATACTTTGTGAGGCATTACGAAATATAGTTTACAAAATATATAAATTTGAAGGTAAAACAATATTTTATTACAAAGTAAAAATTTGTAATATAAAATCGCTCGATTTTCCCTTCTTCTCTGTTATGCATCTTATTACATTAAACGAGCTATTCTTGTATATATATATATTTATAGAGTTCTCAGAAGCGGCTTTAACGATTTTAATGAAATTTTGTACACCGATATTTTGGACTTTAAGGTTATCTGAATAGGCATTATCTCCGAGAAGACTCGTATAAGGTTGCCACCTATTCGAAATTAGTTACAAATTAATTAAAACATCATAATATCGGTATAAAATTGAAGGTATTTTAAAGATTTCTAATTCAAAAATATTTTTAATAGGGCTGCCAACTATTTTGAATCGCATATTTATTTAATTTTTTGTTTAGAAAAAAAGGTAAAATATTACTATTCATGGGTACCAAGAAAGGATTCTTAAATAATCCTTTCCCTATATACAAAATGTTCTCTCTTAGGATAATAGTGTAAGGTTGCCACTTATTCGATTCTACACAATTTATCTAAAACATCACAATATGGATATCCAATGAAAGGTATTGTTGAGAGCTTTGGTCAGAAAATATTTTCCATCAGTGTTGCCACGTTTCTATGTAATACAAATTTTTATTTTGTTAATTTCAATCAACATTTCTTCATGTATACGCAGGACATATACGCTCAAGATATGTAACTGGCCGTCTCCAACGGATAAAATTTATTGCTGCCCAGCTGTCATTTTGGTCGCTAGATATAAGTTATATCAGTGGCAATATTTGCGTGGGCTTTTTATATCTTGACATAAGGATTTTGTAAGATAGCTTTTAAAATGTATTTATAGGCTATTTTACATCCAAGTACATAATTACAAATATTTTAATAGGAAACAGCTCAATTTTTGCTTTTATATTAAAACTAGATCGCCCTCACCCGCTTCGCTGAGTGTATGAAATTTCTACGTGCTACATTGCGTTAAATTTTTTTCAAGAAAACTCGACTAAAAAAATGAGATTTTGAACCTCCTTGTTTAACCATCTTCAAAATATTTTCAAACAAAAACTTTCTTAAACTTCTCAATTGTCATACTTTTTAATTAACTTATCACCTGAACTCAATTTGAGATACATATGTTAGAATATAAATAGCCAAAGGAGACCTCTTGACATCCATTTTTTAATATAAATTACAAATAAATAACTCCCTAAATTACAGTTAAATTTGATTTTTTTAAAAGGTGGCAGCTCTCATCCATGAGTAGATAATGGTTTTATATATCTCCATACCAAGTTCCAGTAATCTATCAAAAAATATTTCCTGAGAAATGCAGTATGAAATATTTCGTTTGTATGGGAGGTGCCACGCCCCCTTGTCTAATCGAGATTAAGTTTATCCTATATTTTAAGTTGGGCTAAATGACAGCAGTATACAAAATTTCATGATGATCGGTTGAGTAGTTAAAGCATGAAAGCGTAGCAAACAAACAAACTCACTTTCGGATTTATAATATTAGTAAGGATAATAATAATGTTGCAGCCACGAAGCTTTCGTGCAAATGAAAATGTAGCTGTCAAACTACCAAATTGCCGGCAATAGATGACAATATATCAGCTCTGATATATATTGCTCTTGCAGAGCAATGAGCGGTCTCCATTGGCTATTTATATTCTAACATATGTATCAAGATATAAACTCTATCCTGTGGAGACGGGCAGTAAAATTCATTCCAGCGTATTTCGGAATACGGTTGCCACATAAGTTTTAGAGTAAGGAATTTACTTAATAGATTCGAAATCCAATTGTCTTTTTTTTGTTTATTTCTAAAATATTTTTTTAAAGCTATCCAAATCTTGAAAACTTTAAAAAGTATATGCACTCCACGCAAAGCTCGGTCAACATGGTACTTCATGTTTAATATGTTCAATCCCGTATTCCTCGGTCTAAAACTAGAAAAACTGTCAAAAAATAAAAATTCGCTCACAGCGAGAGAGCAACACTGAAAAGTACGGGTAAAAAACGGTAACTTCTGACAATACAACCTCCAATTTTTGGTTGAAAATTTTTGTTTATTTTGTGTGTTAACAAACTCAGCTCATACATGTGAATAACCAAATATACATTCAAATTCATTAGAATCCGCTTAAACATTAAATAAAATACTTTAAAATATGCATTTGCAGAGTGCACTTTTCTTTTGTTTACAATTTGGTTGTCAAACACGCTACAGCTGATCGTTTGACACATTTACCAGCAAAAAATTTTCGGACTAAAACGTTCTGATTTCTTATTTACTCTCTTTTTTGTCCTCTTAATAGTCAGAGAACCGAGTACGGGATGTATTTTCAGTAAAATCTGACTGATTCTGACTAGTCTGGACTCGTACGGATCGCAACTAAAGGCTTAAAAAGACGGCAGTGTTGATCGGGATTAACTGGGATCAACTGCAGTTAATTCCCCGAGTTGATCCGGATCAACGCTGCCGTCTGTTTAAGCTCTTATATGTAGATTCAAAACAATAAAGCCGTTTATCTCGAGTTTCGCTTTTTAGAGTTATAACACTATTGAAGTAAATGAGCGATATGTACATATGTATGTAGTCATGTATACATGAATTATCAAAAATGGCAAAGTTACATGTGTATTTCCATCTGGTTTCTAGTATACCGGCCATATGAATAGATCAAACTTTGATTGCGTCTTCCCACAATATTGCAATTGTAAATTAATTCTCTTTGTTATTAAACGTACGATAGTATATAAATATGTACATACATACATATATAAAGAAAAAATACTAGGTAATAGAGCAGTTTATGTCCTCTCCGAAAATTATCCAAAATGGCCGAAAGTGGTTTCTGCCAATATTAAGGGCACAAAATAGAAAATTTTTGTAAACCGTTAAAAAATTTATTGTAAAAACCCGTTTCGTTTAAGTGAACTTTGCCAGTATTAAATTGATACGTGTTATCTACTCGTTCATTATAATTTACTGTCCGATTGGCCCGTAATCCTTAACCTTCAGTCTATATCACGGGGTAGTTTTATACCCCAAACGTCTACAAATTAAAAAAAAAAACCTTTGTATATACAAAAGAGTAGGCCGGGAGACAACGATAACCGCAGTGACAAATTTTGACTATGCCATTGGAAAGCTGGGCTCCTCCACTTTTCAAATATAAACACTTTTAAATGCGTGGCCTTCTATTTTTAAAGATATTTAGTGTTAAATTATTTTTAGTCGCTTTTTTTTGTTTTAAATATCTTATGAACTACATAAGATAATTAATTTATATTTCAGTTCATGTACCTAATTGATATTATTTTTCAGCCTACTAAAAAACGTAAAAAATTTCGAAATTTTTTTTATAAAATCACCTTTTCTTTTGAAAAAAAAAATACATGATTTTAAATTCATTTAATTAACCAAGGTCCCCTCTTCTACGGCAAATAAAATACTCGGCCGCCTACGCAGAGAAGTTCGGCCTCTTTCCGCAAAAACACACAGATAGGAGAATTCTGCGTGGTAAGAGTTATCATTCCTAAGCGCGACCGAAGGCTGCCTACGCAGAAAAAAGTTCTGCCCCTCTTCTCTGGCAACGCAGGATGTTTACTTCTGCGTAGTAAGGGTTATAATCCCTTCTCAATAGGACAATTTTTCAAAAATCACGTGTTTGTTTAAAATTTGTATAACTTATTAGTTACTATTTGTTTCTATAACTTAACAAGATGTATATAACATTTGTACTTTGTATTAAAGTCATCAAATGTTTTGAAATCCGTGCTTTCGTTTGAATTTGACCTTTAACCCTTGGTAACTCCTGCAGTTCCATCTTTTTTCAAAATTTGTTGCCCCGGTTATCGCAATCGTGCCGAACAGGAGCAAAATTCAAAACGTTATTGTTTGCAACTTTTATTTATTTATTTTTAATACATTTTTTACAACGATTTACCCATGTCGATATTGTTCAGCGCAATATCGATTTCTCCTTTCTGTGTTGCCGCAGGAGTAGCGAAACTCTTATAACCCTTACTACGCCGAATTCTCCTTAATTTGAGAATCGGAGCTTTCATTTCCATTTTAACGGCGTAATGCGTAGGAAAAACGCTTGCATTGCAACGTTTAACCGCACCTTTACATTTGGCATTTCATCGCAAAAATAATGCATAAAACTATGCTGAACACCGGAGTTATCGGTTTAATCCGAGATTGATTGTTTCNAATCGGAGCTTTCATTTCCATTTTAACGGCGTAATGCGTAGGAAAAACGCATGCATTGCAACGTTTAACCGCACCTTTACATTTGGCATTTCATCGCAAAAATAATGCATAAAACTATGCTGAACACCGAAGAGTTATCGGTTTAATCCGAGATTGATTGTTTTCGTAGGCCAGTGAGAGATTATTTTATAATTACAGATTAACGAGTGGCGAATTTGATATGGCTAATCTCTTTTCTTATTACTGATTAGGAGTTAAGCTCAAAAATGAGGACAATCTACTTATATGTATGTCAACCTAGTATACGTCGCAGATGGTAATTCAAATGGATTTTGACAACAGTATTTGTCATCAACTTTAAAACAAGTTGATAGTGTAAATAGTTATTTATATGAATTTGATTGGCAGTAATATGCGTCGTTTGATAATTCTTTCGATCATTTTGGGAAATTTTTCGTAGGGGGCCAAAAACTTGACCACTACCAAAAAATTATGCAGCAAAATTCATTTCACCACACCTGTGCGTCGGCATACAAGATTTTTTCAATTTCCCGTTGATTCGTTTTATCTTCAATTTTACTACGCGTGTTTGCCATATAGGCGATTTTCACTTTTCCTCTACTGTGCTTAATCGATTAAAAATTGCTTATTTCCGGCTACTTTAATCTTTTTTACACGAGCAATGAATTTTTATCCTTTGTCTTTTTTAACACCTCTTCTACTTGTCTTTTTCTGTTGCTTTTTCTTTCCGTCACTTTATATTAAAACTTAAGGGGAGAAAAAGCGTAAAACTAAAAATTATCAACAATGAAAAATCAACACGAAATTAATTAGTGCATAGGGAAAAACAAATATAAGGGTCAAAACGTAAACGGCAACGAAATTCATATAAGTAGCACAGCTCTTGAAACGATGGTGACCGTCACGAATCACGAAGTACACGATGTAGAATAGGCAAGGGAAATTTTCCAATATTTTACTACCAATCATTTAATTTTCGATATTTATGCATTAATAATATATTTTTTATGCAAAATTACAGTCACAAACCGAGTTTTTATGATTCTTATAAGGATATCTCACTATTTTGCAAGAACTTCACAGCATATTGAAAAATGTCTTCCTCAATTGCGCACACTTTTACATTTAATGAAAATTGACAATCAATGCGAATGAGTGAGATAGAAAAGACACGTCAACTATTTGCTAGTAGTACTGCTCTAAATAGCGTTGCCGTTGAAAATTATGAAAAATGTTAACTGCGTCTCTGGTACTTTTTTTCAAAGAATAGTAGCGTTCTTGTACGCGCTAGTCGTACCAGTTTTTACCAACGTTTTGCCGTTCTTGTACCCAAAAACTGGTAAGAAAGGGGAAATTGAGAGCGAAAAGTGACATTTATTTTTGAGGAGAAGTTGCTAGTTTTTACTGGATTTTACTGGATAAATTTTTGCTAGTAAGAACTTGCAAGCGAGAAAAACAGCTGATCGCATGTTGTTGGATGGAATTGAAACTAATAAAATAAATGTTTATGAGGTTTTTATAGTTGAAATTGACAAAATAAACCTATTTAAACATAATATACATTGTCTTATTAGCAACTAGCTGCGAATAAACAACAAATTAATCAGCTGTTCGTAAAACTTGCAAATTATTACTGGTTTTGCGTTCTTGTACTTTTGTGCTATGAGAGCGAATTCTCAGAAACTCAGTTACTGGATAATTTGTAAAAGAACACAACTAATGTGAGCTTGGGAAGCGTATCTATGGGCTGTTTTTAGGTATGGGTTGTTTTTGCGCGTATACAGTTTCTAGTTCCGTTTCAGTCAACGCCGATCAAGATTTATTATTTTACATTATTTGGAAAAAGAAAAGTGGCGCATATTCAACAACGATGTGATACTGATAGAAATCTGGCTCAATTTGTGATCAACTCTCATTATTGTTTTCCTATTTAATTGAGGAAATTTTAATTGACAGCACCGACAAATGAATATATACACAAACAAATTTTCGGTTATGGTTAAAACAATTCGAGTTTTTGTATTGAATTTTTGGTTTAAAATTTATTTTTTCCTTTTCAGTAAGGGTTTTGCACATTATCTTCTTCGGCCGCTGTGGTGTAGTGGTAAGCAGTGCGCGCTTTCACTCATCAGCACCTGGGTTCAAGCCCTGGTCAAAGACACATCACAAAAAATATAGAAAAAGGTTTTTTCTTAACAGCGGTCGTCCCTCGGCAGGCAATGGCAAACCTCCGAGTGTATTTCTGCCATGAAAAAACAGCTTCTCATAAAAATACAATCGCCGTTCGGAGTCGGCGTAAAACTGTAGGTCCTTCCGCTTTGTGTGACAACATCAAGGCGCACGCCACAAGTTGGAGGAGAAGCTCGGCCAAACACTAACATATGTGTAAGCGCCAATCTATTATTATTATTATTATCTTCTGAGTGAGAAATGATCGTAATAGATACGGATCTGAATAACCGACTGGAACACGGCTGTTTGTCAAAAGCATACGATTTCGAACTCGCGTAAATGTACATTTGCGAAATGCGATAGCATGAACGCTCTTCGAAAACTCTTCTGCGTGAGAATTGATCGTAATATACACGCATCTAAATAAGACACGGCTGTTTGTCAAAAGCATACGATTTCGAACTCGCGTAAATGTACATTTGCTAAATGCTATAGCTGCATAATGCAGCGTTTTTGCTGCATTTAAAATGCAACATTTAGCACTTTCGAACATAT